TACAAGGTTTTTCATTTCTATCTTTATCGACGGTGGTTTATGTAACTTAATTTAATTTTTTCAACTCTCATGAAATGTCCTCACTCGCTTATTTTATGTTAATTTAATTTAATAAAAAATCTCAATAAATTACCAATACATATTTATCTTTCATACACCTACACACTAGCTATTCTTATCCGTTTCTTATATGCATTATCTATCTAGAACGGAACTTCCTGCTGAGCGATTGTAGTTCCTAGTAAAAAAAGAGCAAGATACAAGAATGGACCAGTGGTTGAAACGGTGACGTAGCGATCAAGAATAATATTAGAATGGGAGGCAGTAGATTTTGAAGCGGTAAATTGAGGGAGACGAAAATGGTGAAGATAGTAATCTTTTCCATTTTCCAGTATCACAAGTTATAATTTATACTTTTATATTTTTTATTTTAAATATACTCATTCATCTATCTCAATTATACCTATCTTTCTTTCCTTTATATGTGGACCCCGTATCGTACATTTTACCTTTATAATATTCTCATACCTCGGAATGTTTTGTTCCATCCATATTTATCAATGTTATAATAAAAATTTAATATGATTGTAAAAAAAATGAATAACTATAACGAGTACTAATGTGCAATGCACGATTTGTAATTTATAATATATATACAAGTGGGAATGAAAAGGCGAACATTGAGGCTACAAAAAATAACCCTACTAAGTTTATATATCGATAAAAATATCATTAAAGATTTTAGTTTTATTAATTGGAAAATAAAGTTGATTTAATTTTGATTAATTATATTAATTTTCTATTTAAATCTAAATTCTATTATATAAAATAATAAATTATATTCTATAGTACATAAGGTATTATTAAATATAGTAAAAATATAATATCTTTAAGGATTAATTTTAATTTTATTGGTTGAAAAAAATATAATTTTTAATTTTAGTCGGTTATATTATATTATGTAAGGTGATTTAATATTAATTGATTATATTATATTATAATAGGTATGTATTAAATATGATAAGAATATAATATATTTAATTATTATTTTTAATAATTTCAGTTTGATTGGTTATAATTATTTCTTACAAATAACTTATTTTACAAAGAATATGTGTAATGTATTATTATTTATTAAGCAATATATTATAAAATTTATCATTTGATATAAAATAGAAAATAAAACTCACTAGAAATATATATAAAATATAAAATTATGATATAAAAACATTATGTTAGAAAACCATATTACACATTGAGGATTTTTTCTTCCAAAAAAGCAATCATAGAATTTAGCAAAAGTGAAAAAAAAGTAAATATATATATATAGTATTCTAAAATAATGATTAACATATTAATTATTATAATAATTTAATATTGATTTCTTATATTTTAGTAATACTAGTCTTCTTTATGCCATGATTGTACATTGATTATATTCATTATATATTTATTTTTATACTCGTTTAATTTTTTATTTATATAATATTATAATATAATCTTTTATTTAAATTGAGTGGATAAATTATATTACACTTTATATATACAATAAATATTTTGTTGGTTCTATGTCAATGTACTGATTCATACAATTTTTAATATATGTTAATTTCTTTCATTTTCTTTTTTAAGGAAAAATCAATTTGATTTATAAAAATCATCATATAGCTTCTATTATACAGTTTATAATTCATTTACATATTTTGTTGATAACTTTTATTGTAATTTCTTGTAGCAAATAAATATACGTTAACACTATAATTAGAAAGCAAAATAAATCAAATTAAATATATAAAAATAATAATAAATTTTTATTTTTATTTTAGAAGCAAAATAAATCATTATATATAAAAATAATAATAAATTTTTATTTTTATTTTTTTAGCCAAGTCAAATCATGAAGCATTTTCAAAAAAATTAAATTAATAAAACTATATTCTTCTTTAATAGAAATAAGGATTTGAATTATATAAAATATCAATATAAACTAATTAAATTCAAGATGTTTAAAAATATAATTTTTTATCTTGTTTTTTGGCTAACCAAAATAAGAATTGCAATTTGTAAATTGAAGAAATTTAACATACTCTTTTTAAATTAAATATGAAATCACTAAATATTTTATTTTAAAATAATTTACAAAAAATGTTAAAATTTTTAAATGCCCTCAATTTACATATATTATTTATAAAATAATAATGTTTGAAGCTAAATTTATAATTAAATTAAAATAATTAATTAATAAATTTAACATAATAATATTAACGAAATACAATATTAATTAAGACACAATAAGTAATAATAATAATAATTTAAAATTTTAATGCTTAATTATCTATATTTTATTTATCTAATTAAAAAAAGTAAAAATCCAATCAATCATAAATATATTATAATATAATTAGACACAATAAGATAATAATAATAATAATTTAAAATTTTAAAATGCTTAATTATCTATATTTATTTATCTATTAAAAAAAGTAAAAAATCCAATCAAATCATAATAATATTATATATATATTTAAGTTAAAACTAAAGTTATTATAGAATATCTTAAATTTAACAAGGATAATATCGGCAATCCCATTATTCCCCTCCTTATTCCCACTTATAGATAGACAAGTTATGATATTATATTTTATATAAAAACTCAAATTAGTTAAATTTAAATTGTTATATGGAATAAGTAATTTTATTTTCATAGTTTATTATATATTAAATTTTTGTCTAATTATAATAGTAGTTTATGTTATAAATGTGTTATTTCCTTAACAAGTTATTTAATTATTTAATTATTATTTTATTATTTTGTAAAATAATTTTTTTCTATTTTGTGAATGCTCTTAGATTTTAGTATTATAAATTGTTATAATATCATATTTATAAACAAAAACTAATAGAAAATTATATATATACATTAATAGAAAAATTTTTATATAGATTAAATTAAAGTAAAAAAAAGTACAAAACTAAAAACATAAAAATAACACAAATTAATATTTTGAAGCATTCATATATGTATGAGAGAATGTTAAAAAAATTTATGTGCTATAAAATAGCTAATTGTTTATGTAATAAAATAGCTTTTATAATTTAGTTACAATTCCTTATATTTTTTAGTGTGCTAATTAAAAAATATATTTATTATAATAAATATGGTTAATATTCTGTGAAATAGCTTTTACTAATTATAATGTATATTTTTAGTTTGATTGATGATGAAGAAATTCAATAACAGAATAAGATTAGATAACTTTTATTGTTTAAATGTAATTATTTTTTCAACATTTCCTTGTTTAATTAATTATTTAAATTAAATATTACTAAAAATAAATTGAATTCTTATATTCTTATCATATTTAAAGTATATATATCTAATATATAAAAAAATATTAATTGAGTTATTATATCCTTACTATATTTAACATACCATATTTAATATATTATATAACTAATTATTTTATTAGATTAAATTCTTATATCTTGCCATATTTAATATATAGCTTATTTAGTATATAAATTAATTTTTTATGTTATCTAACATAATTTAAATTCAAAATTAATTTAATTTTTTTAATCAATAAAATTAAAATCTTTTAAGATATATTCTTAACATATTTAATATATATCTTATTTAGTATACAATATAATGTTTTATTTTATGTAATACAATTTAAATTTAAATAGAAAATTAGTATAACCAATCAAAATTATATTACCTTTGCTTTTACTCAACCAATACAATTAAAATTTTTAGTCAATCTATAAACTTAGTATGAACGTTTTTAGCAATCTCAACGTTCTCTTCCCCATCTGTACTTTTATACATATAATAAATAGATTATAAATAAGGATAGTAAGTAAGTGTATGAAAGGGATAAAAAAGGGAATTTACTAAGATAGATATCTATCGGTTAAATTTGAAATTCTTGTCCCAAATGCACTTTGTGCAGAGCCATTGTAATTTCTAATTAAAAAGAGCAAGATACAAGAATGGACCAGTGATTTTAATGGTGATGTAGCCATCAAAGAATAAAGTTTGGATGGGAGGAAGGAGATGTTGAACTGGTAAATTGAGGGAAACGAAAATGGTGAAGATGATAATCTTTGTTGTTTTCATTATCACAAGTTATAATTTACACTTTTGTCTTTTCTATTTTAAATACACTCATTTATGTATCTCAATTGTACCATCTTCCTCTCCTTTATATAGACGTTGCGTCGTATTTTTTATCTTTATAATATTCTTTTATATTGAAATGTCCTGTTTCATTCATATGTTATAATAAGGATTAAGCTGTTTGTGGATAAAAATAATATAAGTATTTAGTACTTTTATATAAAACTAATGGAAATATATCGATGAAAAAAATTAGATACATAGTCATGACGGAACTATACCTTAATGACCATTATAATAATTTAACTATATAGGACAAAATCGTTAATTTAATCAAATCTCATGAGGAAATAGTAACTTTTCCAAAATTTTATGAGCCAAGTACTCGTTATGCGTATCTTAAAAAATTCATTTTATCTATCTTTATAATATTCTTTTATCTTGAAATGTTCTGTTTCATCCATAATTTACAGATGTTATAATAAGGATTAATGTGTTTGTGGATAAGAATAATATAAGTATTTAGTACTTTTATATAAAACTAATGGAAATATATCGATGAAAAAATTATATATATAGTCACGACGGAACTATACCTTAGTGACCATTATAATAATTTAACTATATAGGACAAAATCGTTAATTTAATCAAATCTCATGAGGAAATAGTAACTTTTCCAAAATTTTATGAGCCAAGTACTCGTTATGCGTATCTTAAAAAAATTCATTTTATGCGCATAAAATATAAGTATATGAGTTATACACAAAAAATATTTACACTTTTATTTTTTAATATTATTATTATTATTATTATTATTGAAAGCAAATTATTATTATTATTGTTATTATTATGAAGCGTTGAAGAATGAATTTAATTGGAGTGGAAAAAAAAAAGAAAAGAAAATGGGAGATTCTATTAGTGGACAAGGGAAGTAAAGGTGGATGGTGAGAACACTATATAAATACCTAATTGTACAACGCATCTCGTATGATAATACGAGTGTAGCCAACAAAACAACCAATAAGATATATAGGTAGTGGTGCTTCCGTAATGCCTAGGGATCAATTTAGAGACCCTCTCGTTGTTGGTCGTGTGATTGGGGATGTTTTAGACCCTTTTACAAAATCTATCTCCCTCCAGGTTACTTATAATCACAGAGAGGTTAACAATGGCTGTGAGCTCAAACCCTCTCAAGTTGTCAACCAACCTAGGGTTGATATCGGTGGAGATGATCTGAGGACCTTTTATACTTTGGTATTTCTTTTTATTGTTGTTGTTGTTCTTCTTCTTCTTCTTCTTCTTTCAGTTGCTTTTGTTTTGTTTTTAAATCTAAATGACTATACAAACATGGGTTCTTGGGTTTTGAAGTGGGAATTATGATTCTTTTCTTCTTGAAATTGCAGGTTATGGTGGACCCCGACGCCCCTAGCCCAAGTGACCCTAATCTCAGAGAATACTTGCATTGGTACCTTCATATTCGATCCCATATCATATGATTCTCTCGACAAAATTAATGCACACACAATTTTCTTTATTTCTCATTCATATATGTTCGTATCCAATCATAGTTCAAACAAACTTTAAATCCTTCAGTATACAGATATATATGGCTTCGATCCAATACTTGTTTCACAAAATCAGTGGAAAATGTGATTTATTAGCAAGTTTTCTTTATTTATTTAACATGCCATTCCAGTTGAAGGTAAATTAAATTAAATGATAAGGAAGAAAGAAAGAAAACAAAAAATGGAAATGGCAGAGAGCAGTAGGAAGGAAAGGTAAAAAAAGCTAAGTACGGAAAAAGAGAAGTGGTAGTGGCACAAAAACAAAAAAGGTGTCGTTGTAGACAATGTTATGCTCTTTGGGGCGCGGGGTGGTGGGGTTTGAAAGAGACATATATAGGTGTCGTGTAATCACATCAGTAAGTCGTTGCTTTTTCAGGTTAGAGTAACTGAGTAAGTATAGAATATGTCAATTTTCCCTTTGTCTGTTTTGAAAATTCATCGATGCATATTTTTCTTTCGAGAAAGAGTTCGGACCGCACATAATTTGAAGAAAGTAGGTTCGGATTTACTAGGTTTCTTGGGTAATCAGTTGGGTCCTACGTGTACCATGATTCTGCTTCTGGGTACACTATCTTACATCACAACACAATTCACTAAATTCTGTTCTATTTCAATTTTCTACTGTGGGTCCTGCTTTCTACAGTGATTGATTGGAGTAAGGTGATCCTTGCGTTGTCTCTTTTTACTTTTACTTCATTTTAAAATGGCAACCTTTTATTATTATTATTATTATTATTATAATATAGGTGCTTGAGGAAAAAAAAAATTTCTTCTTTACAAAATATTAACCGCACCTATCATTATAAATAAAAAAAAATACTTATTTAGATCAGATAACTCAATAAAAATAAAAATTTTTTAAAAACCATTCATATTTTTTTTTCTCAGTAATATCCTCTTTTAATAAAAATTTATTTAATTAATGGATACATTGTGCACCAGGTTTAGATAAGTCAATCTCTTATAAGCAACTCTTTTACGAACAATAAATATTTTTTGTAAAATATTTGAAAATAGTAGCAACCACACCTATTATTCTGTAAACCAGACTTATTTATTTTGTAAACCGAACAAATTTAAAAGATAGGCATATTTTACGAAATAAATTAAAAATATTACAAAATATAAATTCTTAAAAACCTTACAAAGTATTAGCGACTGAAACTGTTATATATTTTGTTAGGCATGAAGGGTTGGGGGAACCCTCGGTTCAAAAATTTTAAATTATGGAATTATGAACCGGCTTTTTAACGGCTGATTCTAGTTCGGTTTCAATTTTGACTGATTCTGATGTGGTTTTGATGAATTGACTATTCCTATTATAGTTTTGCTATGTGTATTATTTTTTTTTAAAGAAAAATAATTTAGTTCTAAGGTGTTTTTCTTTCAAAAATATTAATGTGAATTTAAAAAAAATATTGATAGATTTTATCTCAACTAACTTTTAAAGTGCTCGTACTCATAAGAAATAAAATTAATTAATTTTGCAAAATAATCAATTAAATCATCATTTTATTTTTTTTATAAATGTTATTAATTAAATAAATTACTAGAAAATTTTGAAAAATGCTTCAAATAATGTAATTTTGAATTAAGTAAAAATTTAAAAAGAGAAAATATTAAACTCTCATTTGTATCAAACATTATAATTTTATACTACTAAATATTTCTTTTTTTTTTTGCCATTTTACTTTTTAATATTTTTAACTTTTTAAGTAAAGTGTATTTAAAAAAAAAAACTAAGTAAGATGTATTATGTAGTAAAAGATTATTTAGAGGTGTATAAAATAGGTTAAATGATTATAATTTTAAAAATAAAAAAAAATTTAATTTGAACCATATTAAAACTGCCGATTTCATTCAGGATCAAAATATACCATTTATATGAATTTTAATCGACTTAAACTATCAATTTTAATTTAAAATTTTAAATAGACAGTTTCAATCGGTGAACAGTTTATTTACTATACCGAACTGATGCAGATGTCTATATTTTGTAATCCGATAACTGCATGAAAAAATACAACAACTTTTTACTGACTTGTCAAGAAATGTTAGACGATAGTAATGAGTGCTATCATTTTTTAATTACATGACATGACATGACATGACTTTTCTTCACACCATAATATGTTGGACCAAGCTAGTCCTACCACTGTATTACGTTAGGACTCAGTCAGAGAGATGGAATAATGGAACAGACCAAAAAAACAAAACTTTTGTTTTAAATTATAATATTCATATTCATTTTGAGGAAATCGAAATCGTTTTTGGACTCAAAAGTGCAATTCCAGTACGTATAGTACGCTGAGAAAGATGCAAAAGGCGTCTTTGCAGTTGAAGAACATTTTTAATATATATAGGGAAGCATCAACCAGTGCATGTTCATGCAGATTTTTTTTTTTTTATTTATTTAAAAAAAAAAGAAGATACAGGCTTAATTATGATATGTTGAATTTATCTAAACTTGTGCAGGTTGGTGACTGATATTCCAGCAACTACTGGGGTAACTTTTGGTGAGACTTTAATTAATTAATTAATTAATTAAGTTTTGTTTAATTATTTAGATGTCATTTTCTTGAATCTCTCCGTTGAGACCAAATCAAGAATGTATATATGTGCAGGGCAAGAGATAGTGTGCTATGAGAGCCCGCGACCATCGTTGGGGATTCATCGGTTCGTATTTATATTGTTCCGGCAGCTGGGAAGGCAGACCGTGTATCCACCAGGGTGGCGTCAGAATTTCAACACTAGAGATTTCGCTGAGCTCTACAATCTTGGTTCACCGGTGGCTGCTGTTTATTTTAATTGCCAGAGGGAGAGTGGCACCGGAGGACGGAGACGGTGATTCAGTTATATATTAATTACTCCAATCTATACTTGATTAATCACTAATGATCTTAAGAATAAGAAGAAGAAGAAGATGTATTACGGTAATGCTATGCATGGATCCATGTGATAATATTTTTATATTTTATTGTGGTTCTGATCTCTACATATATATAATTCAACCGAACTAAAAAGATCACAAATGCTATCAAATTTACTGAATATTAATCTCTATTGCAATGTCTTTTTCCTTTATTTGAAATCCAACGTAAAGTATATTTTGAATTAGATTCAACAATTTCTGAGTTATATATTAATTACTCCAATCTATACTTGATTAATCACTAATGATCTTAAGAATAAGAAGAAGAAGAAGATGTATTACGGTAATGCTATGCATGGATCCATGTGATAATATTTTTATATTTTATTGTGGTTCTGATCTCTACATATATATAATTCAACCGAACTAAAAAGATCACAAATGCTATCAAATTTACTGAATATTAATCTCTATTGCAATGTCTTTTTCCTTTATTTGAAATCCAACGTAAAGTATATTTTGAATTAGATTCAACAATTTCTGATAATTATGTCTAATGTTATATTTTGAATTAGATTCAACAATTTCTGATAATTATGTTTAATGTTATGTTCACTTTTTGAATTTCATGTATGATTCATAAAATTTGAACATTGTCAACAAATTAAAATCTGAATTAACAAATATATACTTTATGACACAACAATTTCCAAACTTAAAATTAAATTGCCCAAGTACATAACTCTCTTACTTTAATCTTATCGCGTCACCCTTAATTTTATAAGAGACCTATCATGCATCTAAAATTACGAATTTTGTTAATGTTGCACACATTTTTATGCTAACACTATTTTTTTGAGCTTTTGACTTTTATATGTAAAATGTTGATTTGATGTGTGGTTATCGTAATTTTTGAAATAATAATTTTCACATTTTTTAATCATCTAATAAGTATTTAATTGGTTTAATTTTATAAATTTAAGTGTTAAATAAAATAATTTTACAAATTATAGTATTTAATAAGTGGAATTTTATGAGTCTTAAGCATTTGATGTCTCAAATAAAAATTGAAAATGCTTCAATAACAAAGTTTAGAGAGGTTTATGGGCCCAAATTAAATTATCAAGTATGAATCACATTCGGGCCAATTAGGTTAATTACATCAAAGTTGGGCTTGTTTTGTTATGGACTGGACTAGGGAAGATTAGAAGTTGGACTCTGCGATGGACGAAAGCTCACCAACCTATAGCTGCAGTAGCCTTTACATGAAACGTGTCAGATTTTGAGAGAGAGACTCACCGTGACTAAAATATTAACGAACGGAAACATAAAAGGCGCCAAAACTAAATATTTGGAGCCATAACCCAATTGCTGTAGCTGGCGGGAAGACGTTAAATTATTAATTATTCCCTCCCTTTACCCAAAAAAAAAAAAAAAGAAAAGAACTAAAATTAATATATTTATTCTATCACTCTCATCACTATCCTATTTGTTTTCTTTTTTCTTTTTTCTGAGTTTCTGAAAAACTGAAAAATCTAAGATACTAAAAAGGTCAAAACTCTATGATGAATCTGTGAGACAGGAACGAGGAAATGAAGTTTCTTGCTTGAAAATTCAAACCCCCTAGATCTCAGTAACTTGTGTCGTTTCTGTTTCTCTTGCTTTCTGCATCAAAGATTTTTCTGTTTCTGTCTGAATTAGGGTTTTGCTTCTTGCACAAATAAAGCAAATGGCGGAACCGGTGCCGACGGTAATCGACGTTGATAGTGAGCCAAAACCCAACACCCAAGACCAGCCAAAGAAAAACCTCAAGCGAAAGCGGGCAACATCAACACCGTCGCTGTTATGCAACATGACGGATGACCAGAAGGCAGCCCAAATCGAGACCCTGAAGGACGAACTCCAGGGGCTTTTTGTCTATTACAGACAAGAGATGGATCAAGAACTGGGGTTTGGGTTCGGTGCGGATTTGGGTGGAAATGAATGTAATACGCTGAATGGGATGGTGGGATTGTTGATGGAGGAGAGCCAATTGGCGCTGTCCAAATTGGTGGAGGAGATACATGCAAAGTTGTCCAAGGAGAGATTGAAGGACAATGTGACTGTTACGGTGGCGGTGGTGAAGACTGCGGTGTTGTTTGTGGGGCAGAGAATGATGTACGGAGTGCCCAATGTCGATGCTGATGTTTTGGAAGATGAGAGTCAGGATTGTCTCTGGTGTTGGGAGGTATTATTAGTTTTCATGGGCCCTGTTTAAATTTTATTATATTTTAGATTGCATTCTTTTATGTGAACAATGGGTCTATATTGGTAATTGAATTTTATGAAATTCACTTAACTATTCTGAATTATGTTAAGTTGGATATCATGTTTCTATCATTCCGGGGAATTTAATTTATTAAGCCTTTTATGTTGTGTTCAGTTTTTATTTATATTGATTTCTTCGTTGAGGAATTTCTTTTCCTTGGTAGTGGAGCGTTCAGTGGGAATTTCTTGTGTTGCTAGGTTATTGGTTATAATTGCTGTTTTTGATTTTGAGTGTGAGCAATCTAACCTTTGTAGGCGAACTGTGAACAAAAGAAGCTAGGCGGGATTTTGGCACTTACTATTACAAGAAAGCTGCCCTGTAAATTCTGAAGTCTTGGGTTCACCAGAGTACTTGTTCACTGTGTTTTCTAGAGTGTGCATTTATTATGTGTCAATAATTTATTATTGTTCTGCAAATCATCCTGTTGAATGTGTGTGCTTGGTTTGCTATCAGGACATCTTTATATTCTAATACCAATTTCTGTCCTTCGGCGGTTTCCTCTGCTGTTGGTTGTATTTCATCTTGATAACCAGAAATGTGATTTTCATACTTACTGTTGCAGACAAGAGATCTAAAGGTGATGCCAAAATACTTGCGTGGAACTTTAAAAGTTCGGCGGATCTGTCGGAAAAAGATTCATGAGAGAATCAGTGCTGTGTCTGGTAGAAAACATTGCCTTGAATTTATCAATTCTTTTATTTGTTCACTTGTTGTTTTGAGATTTTTCATTTTCTTATTGTGACTGTAATTTATGAACAATTTAATGTGGTTTGATGTTACTAAAGTGAAGATTAAGGTAGTCTAGCCTTTTAGTCTAAGAGGAGAAATATATGAATCATTTTACTGCACCAGTAAAACAAATGAAAATGAATCTTTGAATTTAGATAATGTTTGGGTTATTTCAGCTATGATATCTGCATTACAAAACTCGGAGACTTATCAGAGTTGCAGAACTGATTTAATGAGAGCATCAGGAAAGCTTGCTAAAGCTTTAAAAGAGGCAGAAATTCGTTCATTAGTGGATGGAACGTTACAGAAGAATGGTACAGTGAAGTATGTCTCTGATTTGCTCTATTCTGTTTATTTCCTAAATATGTTTTTTTTTCTTTATTAAACTATTTGAGTATCACAGGGCTGATCAGGAAGCAAAACTAGAACAGAAAGTGCTCATCAAGCAATTGGAGAAAAATAAACGAGAAGTTGAAAAGGAGAAAAAGAGGATGGATCTTGAGCTTCAAAAGGAAAAGAGGCAAATTGTATGTGTGAATCTCACAGTTTTTTTAGTATATGCATTCATTCTCTAGTGTCAACAAGATGACACTTTGTTCATATAATATAATTAGAAATATGTAAAAAGTAAAGCCTTTTTTTCGTTCAGAATGCTAAATGATAACTATGACTTGGGCAGATAAAAAAACCCATAAGTGTGTGTATGCATCATATGTAAAAAACTATATATATCATGTTTACACTGAGCAAAGGATTTCCATTTTGCTGTATTTTCAGAATGTTTTCCATGTCATAGATTTTTTTTTTTTTTTTTTTTGAAAAAGTTAACCTGAGCAAAGATTTCCATTTTGCTGTATTTTCAGAATGTTTTCCATGTCATAGATTTTTTTTTTTTTTTTTCAGGAAAAAGGCAGAAGCGATTGCAAGGTTTTTTTTTTTTTTTTTTCAGGAAAAAGAGCAGAAGCGATTGCAGGAGGAGGCAGAAAAGGATGAAAAGCGCCGCGAAAAAGAAGAGTCTGAAATGAGGAGACAACTAAAAAAGCAGCAAAAGGAAGTTGAGAAAGAACAACGGCATAAAGAGAAGGAAGAAGCTAAAATGAAAAGGCAAAATGCTATAAAGAAGCAAGCTTCAATAATGGAACGCTTTCTTAAAAGAAGCAAAACTGATTCCCCATGCCAAAATGAGGGAACTTCAATTGAAGAAACCGCACCTGTTTTGTCAGGCAAGAAGAGTGAGAAGATGCCTGAGGCAGTTACCATGGCAATGGATTGTACTCTGTCATCAAACGATGATATTAGAATTGATGATATTCGCAAGTAGCTTCCTTACTCCCTAAAACTTTTTTTTTTTTCTTTTTTCATTCATTTTTTGACCCTTTTTGGGTATTCAACGATTGGATTTGATGATTAAGATTGATGGGCTATGCAGGCTGCACTTATCTTCTTGGCATCACCTAGGTCATGCTATTCGTTCAAATAGGAAGCAGCATTGGAGCATTCGTCAAAAGCCTAAGACTGAATTATTTAAGGAACTCAAGCTAACTACTGCCAGAGAACTTTCTCACGATGGTGAGTTGATTGTAGAGAAGCTTGAAAGTGAATGGGGGGAACAGTCTTCTGATGATAGATTATGTGCAACAAATTTAGAGAGTTCTCTGAATGATAAAAAATGGAAAAGGAGAAAGAAGCTGTTGCAGTTTGATAAGAGTCATAGGCCTGCATTTTATGGTATTTGGCCGAAGAAAAGGTGAACTCTTAACTGTGATTTTATTATGTTTCACAAAAACCACAAACTAAATTAGATGAGCTATGGAAATGTACAAGAGTCATATGCTTTAAAACTGAATCTCTGTAAAATTATGGAAATAGAAATACTCTTTTTTTTTCTGTCTAGTCTGCTTATCATGTTAAGTTGTACTACAAGGTAATGCATGTGCCTTGATTAATTGGTTCACACACAGAGACATATATGCATATTCTGAAGTTAATCCTGTTTAGATTTATTCAAAGTGCAAGATAGGAATGCTTACAGTTTTGAGGGCCAACTGATTTTATATTCTGAAAGAAAATCTTGTGCTAGGAAGGGTGGATGTCCAAATGCACAAACATGTTTATATTTTTGGAGGCTCTAGGCTCAAAAACAAATCTTGTTTCATTTTTAGCCAAATTTTTTTATTGTTTTTACATTTTGTTTGATGACTTGATAAGGCATCTATTCAATAGTTGTTCATGAGTGATACTCGATTTGTCATCTATGGTAGTTGGTAAATCTATGGGTGTTTTTAAACTGCTGAAAGATCTGACATTCGATCTAATTCACTGTTTTGCTGTTTCTTTAAGTTTCTTGTGTGCATTTAATGGATATATATCTGTTTCTTTAAGTTTTTGTGTGCATTTAATGGATATATATATATTATATATATATATATATATAATATATATACTATATATATATATATATATATATTTTTTTTTTTTATTTTTTTTTTTTGATAATGGTGCATTTTGGATTTATAAGCACTTAATTTAGACATGCTTGCACACTGCACTTTGACAGCAGTTGGGTTGGATGTCTAATTGATATTGTTCTGATCCCTTTTCAGTCATGTTGTTGGACCGCGCCACCCTTTTAGGAAGGAACCAGACTTGGATTATGATGTTGACAGTGATGAAGAATGGGAAGAGGTATGATCTAAGTTTTTCTATTAAAATAAGAATTGTAACTAAGAAACTTGATTTCTGTAATGCTTGCTATACCACAGGAGGATCCTGGTGAAAGCCTCTCAGATTGTGATAAGGATGATGAAGAACAGAGTTTAGAGGAAGGATGTTCGAAAGATGATGAAGAAGAAAGTGAAGATGGCTTTTTCGTACCTGATGGATATCTCTCAGAAAATGAGGTAAGAAACTAAGGGGCTGTTTGGTATGGTTTCTGTTTTTAACTTTTTGGTTTTAAGCTTCTGTTTTCCTATGCTAAGAGCTCGTAGCAGGTTGATGAAACATGCAACAACCACTTTTTTTTTTTTTTTTTTTTTTTTGGCAAAAAATTTTTTTTTTTCTTTTGGCAAAAAACTTGTTATCATTATAAGATGCCCGATGAAAAGTTAAATTAGATTTAATAGTGAATATTTCTCTCATATTTGAAATTTTTTTTTTTTTTTTTTCTTTTTGGCAAAAAACTTGTTTATCAATTATAAGATGCCGATGAAAAGTAAATAGATTTTAATAGTGAATATTTCTCTCATATTTGAAAAACAAAAATCAAAAGCCAAAAGCAACTATGCCAAAAAAGCTGAGAGATTCTTGGCAAATTTTGATGTTTTATTTTGCTGTATTTGTTGTGTTTCAATATCCCTAATAACCATGTTGGTTTTATTTTACTACCCATGCCTGGTAATCAATGTTAATGTAATTCTTACCAAAAATGATACTTCCTCTTGCATTGTTCTCTCTCACTCTCACTCAGACATGCTTTTGTGTTAGATAATCTGTCTGGATCATCATTTTTCTTTCCATTTTTCAACTGCAACTTCAAAGGGCTCACTTGTGAACTCTGTTTGCCTTTTGGATTCAGGGAGTACAAGTTGACAGAATGGAAACTGAGCTTTCAGTTGAGAAGGCCAGAGGTTCGCCTAGTAGTAAGCAAGACTCGGAGAGTGAAGAATTTTGTAAATTGCTTCAACAACAAAAGTATCTGAACAATGTGACAGAGACGGCACTAAGGAAAAACCAACCCTTGATTATATTGAACCTAATGCACGAGAAGGTCCCATTGTTTGTGGCAGAAGATTTAACAGGTACTTCTAAATTGGAATGGACATGCTTGGAAGCTCTTAGAGTGCGTAAATTCCCTGGTGGGCCATCTATGGAGATATCAACAGTCGATATACAAGCAGAAGCTCGAGAAGCTTGTGTTTCAAATGGCAAAACCAATAGTACACATGTCTCACCTGCAGCAGCCATACCAGAGTTAGATATGCCTATAGTTGTAAGTTGTACCTATTATTATGGGGTTAAAAAATGTCTACTACTGTAGACTTCTAGTTACCTGAGGGAATACAACGTTTCCTGAAATGCTTGTTTCTTAAGCCTTTATTATATTATGACAACATCCCACGCTATTGCTGCTGACTGGAATCCTCATAACAGGTTTCTACTATTCAGTCTTGCTCGCAGAGTATCAACAAGGTCGTCGATTCCCTCCAGCAGAAGTTCCCTACTGTCTCAAAGTCTCAATTAAGAAACAAAGTTCGTGAGATATCAGATTTTGTGGACAATCGCTGGCAGGTTAGTGTGCTATTTTGGAGATGTATGCCATTTCCACAAGAAGGATGAGGATCTCCCATTATACATAGCGTTTTAATTGACATTTTTGAACAGAATCATTGTCTATACCAAAAATGAACCAGTGCACAAAATTAGGCTCAGAGAAAGTTGAATGAAGTTTCTAAATGTCTGTTCTGATGGTGCAGGTCAAGAAAGAAGTTCTGAACGAGGTTGGCATATCAATATCACCGCCAGGTGACATTTTTAACTAGTTGAACCCTTTACTTACATCACATGATCTGCTACTTGTTCATTGAAGAAGTCTTGTTTTGTGATTAAACAGGTAAGAGCAGGGGAAGGATGCCAAATATTTCCACGTTTTTCTCAAAGAGATGCTTGCCTCCAACTGGTAAAAGCATGAATCCCAATGAGAATTCTCCAGAGTCGTCTCTGAAAGCTGGTTGTTCTGAAGTGGAAGGGCAACGGGGTTGCACCTACTCTCAGCCGTAGCCTCCTAACCTTGCTGATTGATGTTAACCTTTTTGCTTGTAATTACATTACATAAATTCTCCCATGAATGCTTAATGTCGGTAAATTGTCATACATAACGAGACTAACAAGTAACAATTCTTGCAGCTTTGGCTATGTGATTTTACGTTTTATCTAGGTGTTGTATTTTTCGTTTGCACTGAAATTACATCGATGGAGGGCTATTTTATTTTTTCTGGTATTAAAAATCTTCTGTCGTTTTTCTCCAAAATGTTTTAATTAATTTAATTTTTTTTATTGTAAAACATGACCATGAATATATGGTCTTCCAATAAATATATAACAGAAATATTTTGCCTATATAGGCTTCGTGTATCTCACAGGTCCAAGGAAAAATAATAAATATTTTATTTTTAAAAGTTAACAGTCGTCTTAAACGACATGTGCATAGCAAACATGCAACGTCGCCGGTGCTAGAAAATACAACGTGGATTAGAAGAGTTATAAAGCCCAGTCTTTGAACGTGCTATCTTACTAAATCAGCTGCTTGAAATCCCTAATCATTTCAATCATTAATTATTATTTAAAATAATTTAATTTAATAATTAAATCAAACTAAATTCCATTCTAATAATTGCAAAAACATGCCAAAACATTCGCTAGTTTGAACTGGCAACCAAATAAAACCAACAGTCCAAATTAAATTTTGTTTTGTATTGTACAAAAATAGCGATTTATTTTGTTTTGTCTTCTCAATTAAATAATGTCGTTTTGGCTTAAGCTACATGTTGTTTTCATTAAAGCCAACTCTTACGAACGAACTAGTAGCTAACCGATAATTAGAAGAAAAAGAAGAATTATTTTGTCAAAATACAAGTATTTACAATACGTAAGTAAAGATGATAAAACACTGAAAAACCTGAAAAACGAAGAAAAGGGTTTTCCAAGACTTCAAGTCATTTAAAGATGGAAATTGCATTAGCATGCCATGGTGATGGTATTGTAAACACTCAGGTACAAGTTGGAGATGGCAAGCATGTAATTATGAGAGAAGGTAAAGGGTCATCTCAAAGAAACACTCTTTAAAAGCCGTTCCCTCTCCTCTTCTCTTTTGTCGTTCTCTGGTGCACTTCTGTCATCTTCTTTAATTCATTCTCTCCATTTTCATACGTTAGTGGCCATTTAAGAAAACCAAAAGAAGGAAAGAGAAAAAATGATTCTGAATCTGTGCCAAGTAGCCTTCCCAACCCAAAATGCCAAATCTTCCAAAATCTTCATGGCCTCCAGTGTCCACTCCACTACTCCTACAGCAAGGTCAGTTCAATTCTAGTAATTTTTTTCCCACTAATTTTCCAGTTAAAGAAGAAACAGAACGAGGTACTGAAACTGGGTTTAATACAATATGGATAGTCATGATATGTTTTTAATTACTGTATGTTGTTCTTTTTCTCTTGCAACTTGCAAGTATTGCATGTCTAGCTCTGGAGCTTTATTCTTTTTCTTTTTCTTTGCCTTTTTTTTTTTCCGTTCATTCCAAGAATATATGTCCACTTTACTTTTAGAAGTGGGTCAAATATGTTCCTATGCCAATCAAATACAGTAGTTTAATTAATTTCCATATCAGTTACTACTTTTTCTTGTTTTGGCTTTGTCTGCCTTCTTGGCTTGTGAAAAACTATATTAAGTGCTAACTGATTAATTCATCATGTTTATTTATTATGATATATATGTGATCATTAATGGTGTTTGAGCAGGAAAGGGGTGAATTTATTAGAGAAACCCCATTACCGGCCTGCCAAAGAGGTGCAAATTCAAATCACACATTCTATGCCGCCTGAGAAAGTTGAGATTTTCAAATCTTTGGAGGATTGGGCTGAAAAGAATTTGCTTGTGCATTTAAAGGCTGTTGAGAAATGTTGGCAGCCACAAGATTTTCTTCCACAGCCTGAGTCTGAAGGATTCTACGATCAAGTGAAAGAGCTGAGAGAAAGATCAAAGGAACTTTCCGATGACTATTTTGTAGTTTTAGCAGGCGACATGATAACAGAAGAAGCGATTCCAACATATCAGACGATACTTAACACTTTAGATGGAACTCGAGATGAGAGTGGTGTTTCTTTAAGTCCCTGGGCCATTTGGACTCGTGCATGGACTGCTGAAGAGAATCGACATGGCGACCTTCTCAACAAGTATCTTTACCTCTCCGGACGAGTTGACATGAAGATGATTGAAAGGACTATCCAATATTTGATAGGTTGTGGAACGGTAATAAGTCATCAATTTTTCTGAAAAAGAGTATATCATATATATATACATATAGACGAAGTTGACATGAAGATGATTGAAAGGACTATCCAATATTTTGATAGGTTGTGGAACGGTAATAAAGTCCATCAATTTTTTCTGAAAAAGAGTATATCATATATATATACCATAATATATATATAATATATATATATATATATTCACAATGAAAGTTATATATATATATTCACAAATGAAAGTTTTTAATCCATTGTTTTGCAGGATTCTAAATTTGAAAACAACCCCTTCTCCGGATTTATATACACTTCGTTCCAGGAGAGAGCAACATTTGTCTCTCATGGCAACACGGCGAGACTGTCAAAGGAGAAAGGAGACACAAAGCTTGCACAGATATGTGGCATAATTGCTGCAGATGAGAAACGGCATGAAACTGCCTATGTTAAGATTGTAGAGAAGTTATTTGAGGTCGATCCAGACGCTACGATCTCGGCATTTGCCGACATGATGAGGAAAAAGATTCAAATGCCGGCCCGCTTGATGTATGATGGTGAAGATTATAACCTGTTCGATCACTACGCAGCGGTTGCTCAGCGTCTTGGAGTGTATACTGCAAAAGACTACGCAGATATTTTGGAATTTCTGATAGGAAGATGGAAAGTAGACAAGTTGAAAGATTTGTCTGGCCAAGGACGTAAAGCTCAAGATTTTATATGCGGATTAGCTCCGAGGTTTAGAAAGATAGAGGAAAGAGCTCAAGAAAGAGTCAAGAAAGCAACATCCAATTCCGATATTCCCTTTAGCTGGATTTTTGGCAGGCAAATTCAAGTTTAAGGTAAAGGGATTTTTATGTTTGGAGAAGACATACCGGAATAATTAATATCTCGAATCTATCATTCACCTGCTTGCATGCAATTTGGCTGGTTGCAGTCGACTGCTATCGCTGCTTCACCTGCATTTAAGTATTATTAATGTTCTTCACCTGTTTGTTTTTTTCTTTTTTACAATAAGCCTGGTTGCAGTGGTAAGTCACCACAGCCCTGCAACTTGAAAACAAGTTTAATTTTCAAAGAGGTCTCTCTTTGAAATTTAGATAAATTCTAAATTAGAGGATGGAATTAAATTTGGTTTTGAGTTTCGACTTCGACTTTTAATCTTATATAACTTTTTCCTTTTTTTTTTTTTTTTTTTTTTTTTTTTTTTTTTTTTTTTTTTTTTTTTTTTTTTTTTTTTGTCTTTGGATCGGTTATAATAAAATAATTATTTTTTGAGCAAAACTAACGTGAAATGAACAGAATTGAACCAATAGAATTTAATTAGATTTCTAAACTTAGTTTGTTGTAGCTTGATATTAATAATAGTTTTTAAGCTTCGGTTCAATTCGAAATTAAACCGGCAGTTTGCTGACCCACGGCTCCCTTTAGCTGTAAATATGAAGCCTTAATTATGATTAAATTTTGAGTTAAATTAGACGATTTCTGATAATAAAGTCCGGAACCCATAGTTTATTAAAAAAAGTATTTCTCTTATTTTTAAAAATTTTTGAGATTACTTATGGTTGGATGATTAAAATAAGAAAATTTGCTTTTTTTTAAGATTTTTAATTTGAATACAATATAATGTATAAAAGAATTTCTTAATTAGCATTTCAGATTACTATATATATTATAGATTATGGAGTCCATAATTAATATGATTGAGAATTATGAGTTCCTTCATATTAATGTATTGTGACCAATTAAGAAACTTATAGACTATGGTCCATGGGCTTTGCATTTAAATGATTCATTCATGCTAAAAAACGAGCTAGTGGACTAATAACTGCGAGAAAGTAATAATTATTAAAAAATAATAACAATAATAAAACTTCATTTTCGAAAAAGGAAGAGGACAAAAAAGGATGTGAAACAGCAAAAGATCCATGTGGAATATTTCATTGTTTCCTCCGACTACTATTTCCACGTTTCGTTGCCCTTTCTTTCATCTAACGCCAAACATATGTTTTTTTTTTTTTTTTTTTTCTTTCAATCTAACCCAACATATGTTTTTTTTTTTTGTTTTTTTTTTTTTTTTTTGAAAGAGAAACATATGTTAATATTATGACGTTAAAAACAATGTTCTCTTTTATTATATTGCCCCTCGATTTGCACTTTATTTTCCTCCATCTTTTTTAAAATTAAATATTAAACTTTATATGCTATTTATCTATTTTTGAGCTAATCAACATTGGTCTCAATCTTCTCACCTAATTATCTATATGCTTTTACTTTGAGCTAAGATAGTAGTTGGAATATTACAAATACAACCTCGTAATAAAATAATTTTTAAATATATTAAATCATTATGCAATTTTTTTAATTTGAAAATAAAATAATAACGATAATTATGATTCTTTATTGAGAATTAAAATTAATATTTCAATAGAATTTAATTTTTCAAATTGAATTATAGAAATATATATTGAAATTTGTTTGTGAAATAAAAAAAAAAGAATGAAATGGCAAATAAGTAATAATATGGGAACATGTGGGCTTTTCCCAAACCAACTAGTTAAAATGGAGTTCGTTCCGTGTCTTCCTTTCGCTCACCACCGCTGCCTGTGTCTCACTTTGATGCGTCTGCTTTCTCTCTTTCGCTGGTTTTCCTTCTTCGACCTGGTTGAGCGCGCTCTCTCTCCCTCTCTCTCTCGCCGATGCGTTTTGCCTATAGCCAACAAAAATAGTGTAGCTTAATTTTGATTCCAAAATCTAAGTCTGCTCCTTTTTGTTTGCGTTCGCGCGGGAGAGTGTCCGCAGAGCTAAACAGAGACAAAGAATGGCTCTAAAGCTGAACCAACTAACCTTTCCAGCAACCCACAAGCTCCCTTCCCAAACTCGTTCTGTGAGATCTCCCAGCAGAGTCTTCATGGCTGCCACTCTAGGCTCAACTTCCACCAAGTGAGTCATTATTGTTTTTTCCAGTTTCTTTTTTTTTTAATTCATTTTCTCATAACATTTTATGCACGAATTTTAATTAATATGTATGCTCGCAAATTGATTATTTACTGACTGTCATCCGGATTTTCTTTGTTGATGCTTAACGAGCTCAGTATTGCCACCATTTTCACGCTTTTTTTAAGCAAAGATGGATCCTTTCTGTATTTGAGTCTAAAAAAGCTTAATATTGGGTCGAAATCTGTTTGGTTACATACAATTGATCAACGTTATGTATTCTCTGTAAGTTTTTTTTTTTTTTTTTTTTTTTTTTTTTTTTTTTTTTTTTTTTTTTTTTTTTTTTTTTTTTTCTTTTTTTTTTTTTTTTTTTTTTTTTTTGATTTGTATTTTCCTATTGTCATCAACTTGTTGGTCAGTTATTCATTCGGTGGATTCATTCATTTTTTCTTAAGAAATTAAATGTTAATCCTCTATTTTGTTTGCTAGGTTCTCGAGTCTTAGTATTTTTCATAATTTTGATCAAACTCTTATTTTTTTTTTTTTTTTTTTTTTTTTTTTTTTTTTTTTTTTTTTTGATTTGTATTTTTCCTATTGTCTCAACTTGTTTGTCAGTTATTCATGTCGGTGGATTCATTCATTTTTTTCTTAAGAAATTAATGTTAATCTCTATTTTGTTGCTAGGTTCAGTCTTACGTATTTCAAATTTGATCAAACTTTAATCCACTCAACATCTTTCTCAAATATCTCTTAACATTTAATTCATTTTTGCTCTCTTCTTTTTGTCGTTAGTCTATTGTTAGTTGATTCTGTTGTAACCCCACTCTCTACTTTCTTAAGGCTGTTTATTATTTTTTTCGTTGTGATCTCAGCTGATTTCAATTTATGATTATTTTTTAATTTTTTCGAAGCTTGGCTGGAAATTTAGAAAGGAAAACATTGCTGCTGAATATTTGATTTGATATTGAGTTATTGACCAATGTTTTTTCTTTCTTTTTTCATTTTTTTACAAAAAATATTTTTTAATAAGTGTGGTTATTTTCAGTACCATTATTAATATTATAAAGGCGTTTCTATCTGCTCTGAGCATTGGATATGGGGCTTTCTTTTTCCCTTGTATAATTTTGATTTTACGCTGGCTACATTTTATTTTATGCTTTTATTTGTTGAGGGTTAGGTGTGAATTTTAGAATTTGGTCCAGTTGGTTGACTGGTTTGAATGCGTGTGCTATGTTAAATGTCTGTGTTTTTCCTCTTTGGTGGAAATACTTGCTTCTTCTTTAATTTACGCCTTTTCTTTGGGCTATTATAGAATAACATAGTGAAAGGAAGGGAAAAAAAATATAGAGCAAGAAAAGTAGAAATAAGAAGAGTTTATGAAACAAGCCTTAATACATTTATCTTGTAATTCTGTTTCTGTAATCTGAGTGTATATATGAAAGTGATTGGTCATGAATTTTGTTTTTTCTGATCTTCATGTTTTAGTTTTCGTTGTTCGTGATGGATGGGTTTAAATGCTCTCTTTTTATATGGCTTTCAACTGCTTATGTAAGCAACTCAAAAAATATATTTAGAAACCTTTGGACCTGGATTTGATTTTCTGCTGCTCTTGGCATAGTTGGATGCCTTGATTTTCTCCCTCTATTAATGTGTATACCCTAAGAATTTCAGGTACAATTACAGGGAGCTTGATGAGCATTGCACTAAATGTGTTTAAGTACTTATAGATTTTTCAGCCACTTATCTTACCTACTATTTTGCGTGTTTAAATGTCCTTTTTTTATCTGGAAAATGAAAAATCTTCCCCTTTTTGGTGTATGACATACGGAGGTTTCTGTTTCTGAAGATGACAATGCTGCTGTTATGAAATTTTTACTATTCTGTTAATTTTCCTTGCATACCATTTTTAATTGAATCTCTCTCTCATTTAGTCTCTTTTTTGGTTATGACTTCATTATTGCAAAATTAGTTTGCTGGATAGTTGACTTATTTGTCCATCTATATGGTGGCAGTTGGTTGAGTTTGGTTCTGTTTCTTGTATTTGTGTTCATGATTAGTTCATCTTAACTTAAAATCTTACCAACAAAACGCTACTTCTCTCTTTCTCCGAGTTATTTGTTTGAATGTTTTTTCCCCTTACATTCTAATGTTTTAAAGGTCAATTGCATGTGATACACTTATCAAATTAAATAATGAAATGGGGAACATGGTTGATGTATCTATATATTTCTAACTTTGGCTAACCGGAAGTTTCATCCATAACAAGATTATGTGACTTCATTCTTTTATTGGTCTAGAGAGGTTGAGAATCCAAAGAAGCCCTATGGCCCTCCACGAGAGGTACATGTTCAAGTGACTCATTCAATGCCTCCGCAAAAGATGGAGGTTTTTAAATCCTTGGAGGGTTGGGCTGAGGATAACATCTTGGTGCACCTAAAACCTGTTGAGAAATGTTGGCAACCGCAAGATTTTCTTCCAGAACCTGAGTCAGAAGGATTCTATGACCAAGTCAAGGAATTGAGGGAAAGATCAAGGGAACTCTCTGATGACTATTTTGTTGTGCTGGTTGGAGATATGATCACTGAAGAAGCCCTTCCCACTTATCAGACAATGCTTAACACCCTAGATGGAGTTCGGGATGAGACTGGTGCAAGCCTTACATCTTGGGCAGTCTGGACGAGGGCTTGGACTGCTGAGGAGAATAGGCATGGTGACCTTCTCAACAAGTATCTCTACCTCTCTGGAAGAGTGGACATGAAGCAAATTGAGAAGACGATTCAGTATCTGATCGGGTCAGGAATGGTATGTCCCTTGCTTATCTATCCAATAAGTTTTGCTTATTTGACATTGTCATAAATAAATTTCCTCTGAAAACCATATGCATGTGAGGAAACCTGCTATTTTTGTTGAAATTTGTAGTTCTTTAGTTGAACTTAGGACCTCAGATCCAGTATTAAAGACATCCTTTTGATAATGTAATTGCCTGTGAAACCAAATATATGTCCTGCCTCTGCTCGCGTTCAGGAGGAGTCTCAGGTTGTTTGTGTGAGTGTCCTCTTTTTGGCCTGTTATCCAACTGTTAGGTGTAGCTGCCAGACAATTTCTTTTATGTTGTTTCAAAGTGAGAAGGTTTAATGAAAATCAGAAGGCACATGGATAAGTAATTGGCAACCTTTCAAGATTTTGATGAGAGAAGTTACTGTATATGTTTACATGACTAGCTTTAACAGTACAACCATACAGTCACTCATACTGTATGACTGAGCACAATGTAGCAACTGTTGTGAAGCTTTGTCACATCCAGTGGAAGCCTTCACTGGACTGTTTATACCAATTCCTTGACGTTTTTATGGTCTTCTGCTTGTTTAATGGGAGAGATTGATCTCCTGATCAAATAACGTTGTGTCAAATTGTAATTTATTTTCATTTTCAATGTTTGTGCTTTGTAGGATCCTAAAACAGAAAACAACCCATACCTTGGTTTCATTTACACTTCATTCCAAGAAAGGGCAACATTCATCTCCCATGGGAACACAGCTAGACTAGCCAAGGAGCATGGGGACATGAAATTGGCCCAGATATGTGGCATCATTGCTGCTGATGAAAAACGCCATGAAACTGCCTACACTAAGATTGTGGAGAAGCTCTTTGAGATTGACCCAGATGGAACTGTCTTGGCTTTGGCAGATATGATGAGGAAAAAAATCTCCATGCCAGCCCACTTGATGTTTGATGGGAAGGATGATAATCTTTTCGAACACTACTCTGCTGTTGCCCAACGGATTGAAGTCTACACTGCCAAGGACTATGCTGATATTCTTGAATTTCTGGTAGGAAGATGGAAGGTAGAGAATCTAACAGGTCTTTCTGGTGATGGGCATAGAGCTCAGGATTTCATATGTGGATTGCCTGCAAGAATTAGAAGGTTGGAAGAGAGGGCTCAGGGAAGGGCCAAGCAGTCATCCAATGTGCCATTCAGCTGGATTTTTGGAAGAGAACTGAAGGTTTAAGCACAGGATGCGACCAACTGCTGCCACCGAAGTAATCACCAAACTGAAAATTGGCTATATTTTGATGTCCTTTGTATGAGAGTGCTTGTGCGAGGAAAGGCATTGTAGACACGTGTTATTAGGATGGTTGCATTTTATCTCTCGAAGGAAGGACAACTAGCCAATAGAATGTTAGACCGAAATAGGTGTGCGTATTTTTCTTTGCCCTCTTCCAACTTATAAACATCAAAGGTTGTTTCTATAAACTGTGGGTGTACGAGGTGTTAAGTTTTTGTGAGTTAGATGTAACTCTTTATCTAGTATTTACTCAATGGAGCTAAATAATGTAGAAGTTGTGTATCATTTAGGTATCTATTCTCGAGCAGGAGTCCTTGTTTACTTTACCTATCTCTCAATAACAATAGGGCTCAAACAGAACCGCCGGAATACTAGTTTGAGATTTGTGGCTGTCTCTCAGTGCTTTTTCTACTAGTATATCCCCATACTATTGTTGTTAAGGATCTCTGCTCTGCCATGCACTGATACCACAAGTTGGTCAGAACAATCAAAATTCACCTATACTGAGCTAACTAGCTGGGGTTTTGGAATCACAGCTTCTGAACAGTTTTCTTTTCTTTCAATTGATTCTTTATATCATAGCTTAAATGTCCGAATCTGAAAGAAAGGGGCAACGGAATAACAAAAATTTGAAAAAATAAGGCGAAAGTTTCATTAAAATATAATGCTATTCAATATCCTGTAGCATTTTCCTTTCATAAATAAACCCCAAAAAAAAAAAAAAAAAAAAAAAAAAAAAAAAAAAAAAAAAAAAAAAAAAAAAAAAAAAAAAAAAAAAACAGAAGAAAAATAACAAATAATTGAATCAACAAAAATAAATAAATAAATAAATATGCGGAAGCACCACCACGCCAATACTATCACAATTACAACAGCCATATGTAAGATCAAACCCAAGATTAGACTTGGAAAGGCCATGGCCAATCCTTCAAGTCCTCTTCTTGCTGCACCTTGGCAGATCTTCTCATAGCAGTATTACCACCACTAACGTCGCCACCCTCCACATAGGCATAATACTTCAAGAAAAATGCAAGAGTAAGAACCACCCACTCCAAACAGAAAACCAACACACACAGCCCACCAGCAAGCTTCAATATCACTTCACCATCCTCTTCTCTTACATATGACTTCAATTGCCCTAGGAAATCCCCTGTCCTAGTAAATATCAACACCGACACCGATCCTTGAAATATTGCCGTAAGCACTGTGGCCACCATGTGTGCAGCATACCACCTGTTGGTCCCTGATGAGGCAGCTGCACAACCTGATACTGCCCCAATAATTGTCAATACATGGAGGAGAATTAGAAAGAACCCGCATATTGAAGGCACCAGTCGAAGCGAAAGGGTTAAGAATATGCAACTAGAGGCTGCTCCCAGTAGAATGTAGTTGCAGAACAAGAAGACCTTGTGGGTGTGATGGTGAGATTGAGAAATTGAATGCGTGTTGCCTAAAGTGATGCCACCCATTTGCTGCTGCTTTTTTTCTTTTTTAAGAATGAGGTTTTTTTTTTCTCTCTTTGTGACAAAGGGTAGCTATTCTTTGATCTACAGATGAGAGGATATTGATTCTTTCTGGGGAGGAAAGGAAAGTGTTGTAGAGAGATATAGTAGGAGTCAATGGTGAGGCTAACGGTCACATTGACAATGTGACCGTTAAAGGGAATAAAGGGTCCCCTCTTGGTAACGGCTAGTTGATTGGAAAACAGAATTGGGCTTTAACATTACCCAGTTCGTGGTCTATCAATTTTGGGCTTCGATGAGCCCCGAGCTGCCCCATTTTATATGTGAACAGTCCGCGAAAGGATTTATCGTTATCCTTAAACTCGGATGTAGCAATTATGGTATCCAAACAGTCCGAACATTTTCTACCGTCTTCCATTTAGCTCGCACTCAGTTCGTCCTCGTCAGAAGTATAGAGCAATTTCGTTTCAGGTAAAACGATGTCGTCTGTAGACGGTTCTCAGGATCACCCGTACCAACCACCACAACACTCCGAACAACCTTCTGGTTAGTATCGTTACTTGTAATTTATCAAATCTGTGAATCGAATTTGATTAATTTAGCACAAAGTGATATTATATCGTTTTTGGTTCTTCTAATGCAAATCGTAGTTGTTTGCGTGTGCCTATATTTGTTATCTGCATTATATTTCCTCTCAGAATTAATTTGCTAATGTTGCTTTCCACCAAAGAATCAAACTCGAAATGAGTTGGCTAATTAAGGCCCTCCAATATGGACGATGCTTTCAATTTTATTAGGTTTTTTGCTACTTTATTCAAAGAAGTAGTTGAATGCACAAAAATAATCCCCTATTAGTCTATCTGGATGCCATTTTCATGTGCATTCTTGTTTATGCTTGTGACTTGTTCAGCTATTGTTTGAACTGTTAGTTTAATGGAAATGCGTTCTGCCATATATTCCTAGACAAAAGCCAAAAAGAGAGAATGGAAATACACTTGGCAATAAAATGTAAAGTGGTCATTATTTTTTTGTAAATTTGATAATATTGATTGCTGTTTCAATTGTACTGGTTACTCATACATTTGTTTTTAACCTTTAAATTTTGTGATCTGTAACGAATAGACAAAAATTGTAAAGTTTCTAATCACCTGAAAGTAGAGAATGGCAACATTTCTTCAATTTTTCACATGCATCGTTTAGCCATTTGGACGGTGACTATTTTCAACCTATTATGTTTTGTGAGAACTCAATCATTTTAGAAGCATGCAAACAAGATTTATACTTAATGGCTTTATCACTGCATAAGCTAATGAAATGTGCAGGAGTTTGGAACATCGGAGATGGTGAGATAAAGAAATGGAAATGCGTTCTGCCAAATATTCCTAGACAAAAGCCAAAAAGAGAGAATGGAAATACACTTGGCAATAAAATGTAAAGTGGTCATTATTTTTTTTTAAATTTGATAATATTGATTGCTGTTTCAACTGTACTGGTTACTCAAACATTTGTTTTTAACCTCTAAACTTTGTGATTTGTAACGAATAGACAAAAATTGTGAAGTTTCTAATGCATTTTGGTACAGTGTTGTTTGAAATTGATACGTTAATTCTTTCCTTCATTTGGCTGTGGCGCCTTGTCGTGGCCATGCTTTTAAATTTAATTAGAAAATGATTAAGCCTTTAAGTAAAATTAGTGATTCTTGAAATAAAAAAATTGTTATTTAATTTGTTTCAAGTATTGTATCCTGACTAGAGGTATCCCCGCTTTGCGCAGATGTACAAAGCGCGAAATGTACATCAACTGTTTTTATTAGAGAGTAAAAATAACTGCTTTTGTTACCAAACTTTTGGAACTTCTTTATCTATCTATCAATAAAGCAGAAAATAACTAATTTAGCAATCCACTGAGCTTTCCCACATGACATAGAAATTAAACTTCACATTGAATTGAAGAATGACTATAAGCATTTTTTTTATATAATTAATATTTTTCATTTAGTAAACATTAAGTTTTTTTTATTAAAAAACACAGTTAAATATTAATTAATCCTTGTTTGTATTTAATAAATATTAATTTTTATTGAAGAATGAAATTGCAAACTGACGCTTTGATAGAGTTGTAATTAATAACTAAACAATGGAGTTACAAACTGATGAAATTTAATGGAAATATAATGAATTTCATTATAATTAATTTTTTTTCATTTAGTAAACATTAAGTTTTTTTATTAAATAATGGAATTACAAATTAATGCAATTTGAATTATAATTAATAAACATTAACTAAATAAAGAAGTTACAACAATATAGTTAACTAATAGAATTAGAATATAATTTCAATTTATTAGAATTTATTGCATTAATTAAATTTTCTTATACCCATTTAGTTAGAAAAACTAATAAGCATTTCAATTGCATATATGAGAATTTCAAAAGAAAAAAAAACATTAGTTGAACTAATTATAACAATTTATTGTGCTAATAAATGTTTTAATTTACTACTTAAAAATTTCATAAAGTTACAAATTAATGCAATTTAATGGAATTATAATTAATAAATATTAACTAAATCATGAAGTTACAACAATATAATCTATGTACATCTATCTATCTATATCTATATAAATATATAAAAGCCAAGATACAAAATCTTATCTGTCACAATTCTAGAATATTAACATACTTATGTGGCAAAATGTTAGCCTATACATTGAGATGGAAATACTTTTTATATTTTTGAAAATTACTTTTAATATAATTAATAGAGAACTTAATTAATACCATTAATAATATTTTCAGTTTTTAAATAATTAATTAAATTAATAATGTCATTAATATTTTTTCATTTTTTTAAAATAGTTAATAATATCATTAATATTTATTTTCTTTATTTTCTTATTCCACTATTACAGAATTTGTATAAATATATATTTCAATATATATGAAACCTTAAAGAAAATCAAATCATACTTTCAACAAAAGGAAATTAACTCTATAAGACTATTTTCATGATATTTTATTGATATGAGCTTAATCAATGTGGTGACGGCGATGGAATTACTAAGTGTATTCAATTTTCGATGATCAACTAAGGTATAATTTTGGTGATTTATAATAAATTATGCCACAACTATTAGTGTATTTGATCCATATAAAAGTATTTTATTTATTATTACTATAATTAGGTGTTTATTTTTGTTCAACGTAATGTCACCTAAATTATAAAATTTATTTTTACAGTGCTATTTTTAATGAAATTAAAATTAAAATTCACTTTCTAATGTCATTAATCTATGAAATAGAGAAATATTTAATGACAAAATTGATGTTTATGTTTTATTTTGTGAATGGAGATGATAATATTCCTCGACCTATTTCAAATCAGGCAAAGTTCGAACAAAATTTTTTTTATAAAGTTTTTAAAATTTATTGGATTTATGCCTAGATTTTAGATTCTTTATTCAAAATAAATTCAATAATTGATATTTAAAAAGATTATTTTAAAATCTATTAGAATACTTATAAAAATTAGAAATTTTAAACTTAATTATAGACTTGATTTATGTATATAGTTGGTTTGAATTGAAAGTCAATACACATATTTATGTTACTGGGTTGCCCGATGATGTCACAGCTGAAGAAGTAACTCATAACACTATTTTGTCATATTCTATTATAGTTTTCTTAGCAAGAAACTCACATGTGGAAATTTATTTAGGTGGTAGAGGTATTTTCCAAGTGTGGGATTATCAAAGAGGTAGAGTGGCTATATTATTTAAATTTATGGTTGAAGGGCCTAATTTTTCTTTTGCTTATGATGCTGAGTTTCCGTGAGAAAGTTGGGGATTATATGAAACCTGTGTGTTACTATTGAATAAGCAAAAATGAACTTCTCTCATACTAATCAGCATCCATGGGAGCTGATGGGTTTGTTTTTTAATTTTTATTTTCTTATGTTTCAGGAACTATTGTTGTTTAAATAATCATTAATTAAGTATAGTATCATGAACTGTAATTCTGAAATTATTTAAATTCAATGGTTAAGTCTTCTTGTGAAGTCAATAATTGATATTTAAAAAGATTATTTTAAAATCTATTAGAATACTTATAAAAATTAGAAATTTTAAACTTAATTATAGACTTGATTTATGTATACATATGTCAATATATTGATCTTTTTGCAAGAATCTATAAACAAATTTATTTTTTATTTTATTTTTTTGTACATTAGTAAGTATAATACTGGATATTTGGATTCTTAAAAATAATTATTAAAAAAATAAAAATATCATTTTTGTTTTTAAATATTATACATCCACATGCGAAGCCCAGGAAGACGAGTAATTAAATAATAGAATTACATATAATTTCAATTTATTAAAATTTATTGCATTATACCTAAATCTTCTTATACCTCATTTAATTATATAAATGCATTTCAATTGAATATATGAGAATTAAAAAAAAAAAAAAAAAAAAAAATCAGTTGATCTGGCTATGCAAATTTTGGATGGAACGCCTTTACGTCCGGGTGGCACAATCCCTATGTCGGTCAGCCGAGCCAAGTTTGAGCAGAAAAAAAAAAAAAAAAAAAAAAGAAATGTCAGCTACTAACTATAAAAATTATTATGCTAATAAATATTTCAATTTATTACTTGAAAATTTCAAAAGTAGCGTATGATTTCACTTTTAATCATTTAATCAAAATTTATAAATAAATTATTTAAATTAAAGCAACATAAATATGTATTATAATATTTTTTTTAAAGAAAATACTCATTTAAATTGATTTAAAAAATAAAATTATACAATACACTCGCATGAATGTATGACTAGTTTGTCTGATTTTGAATGGCTTGATCTTTACATCACATTAGTTGACTTTGATCATTGCACACGTATCACGATTGTATTGGAATTAATTATATTCTCAAACATACCTCACATAACTGAATGCTAAAAGTTTGTATGCTCTCTGTTTTTTTTTTTTTTTTTTAATTAAAAGAAGTAAAAGTTGGTATTCAATTGGCACTGGTCCCTAATATAATATAATTTAAAACTTTTTCCCCTTACTTTTGAAAAATTACGGTGACTTCTTCAACTTTTGCATCAAAATCATTATTAGATCCTTTGTCCAATTAACATTTTTTGAACAAAAAATGCGTACTTTTTGAATGCAAGAATCCAATAGTGAATTTAAAGCATAATAATATAAAATTCATAGGAATTATACTATCCTCTACCTCTTTCTTTTCGTTCAATTCTATCTACAATCTCATTCACCTTTAGTGATCTGCATAGGTTATTATTGGTGATTCTTCACCGATATTAACCATCTCTCTATTTTTATTTACTTTACTTTTCTTGTTTTTCCTTCTTTTCATTGTTTTCGTAGTTTTCTCTGCCATTCAGAGCTCTATAGGTTCATCCATTTTTGTCCAAGGTAGATTTATGGATCTACTCTTGTTTTGTATAGATCTATGCATGGGGTACCCACTAGAGGAGTTCTTGTTCATGTATCTTCATACCGAGTTCAAGTATCTTACTCCAAGAGGCCATGAAGGTGTTATAACACCATGGAAGACCGGTGATTTGGAAAAATTTCTTCCCCCTCCCTCTATCAACAAATTGCTCAGACAACTGCTGGCTAATTCAAATCTATAGTTCAAGAGTTACTCCCAAGATCTAATCTCTAAATCCAACAATGATGGTGGTGGTAGATAGAATGATGTCTATGAGCTTTTTTCTTTCATTGTTGTTCTTGTATGAGTTTGAGATTTCATTAATGGTTTTCGTCTGTTCTGGATTTTGTATTTTAAACTTGATTTGATCGGATTTATGGTTAAAAAAAAATAGTGAATTTAAAGTAAAAGTGAGGAACGTCATAATAAGTTCTCGTAAGTAAGGAATGAAAATATTAATTAGGATATAATTTAGAAATCATGTGCATTTATAATAAGAAATAATATAAAAAGTGAAGAAAGTAAAATATTTACGCATGTCGGGTTCATATTTAGATATTAGACATCCAGCCAACAATTGATTATCATTTGAAAAAACTTCCACTCATTTGTTGATATATTCTTTCTTGTTTTAGTAAAAACAAACAAAAAGAAAAAACATTCATATTTTCATTTACGCCAATCAGGAATGGATCAACCTTATAGCTTGGGAACCACTCTCAAGTTTTCCAAATTTAATTCTCTTCCCCTAAATTTTGTATATACTTTCAAAAATATTCATATTAACCTTCAAAATTTTTTAAAATTTAAAAATTTGCCATGAATTTTTTATATATTTTTGAAAATATATCCATATTAGCCTCCATTAATTTTGCTGTCAATCTTTTGTGTTTTTATTTTTATTTTTGTCAATACTTAAAGTCTAGTTTCGTTCTGACCCAATTGTTATTATTAAATTTTTTAAATGTATACAGCTTATATAAATAAATATTTTCCATAAAAGAGTAATAAATAAGTAAATATTAAAAAAAAAAAAATCTTTTTAAGATCACAAATAGAGAAGAAGAGGAGAGAGCAGCAATAATTGGAGAAGATGAAAAAGTTGTTTTTGTTAGCTAACTTTATTTCACCTGCCCCAGCTTTAGCAATTTGTCTCTTAACATTCATCATTTCCATTGCCTTTCAAGTAATTAATTATAATTTTTATGTCATTTGTCAAAATCCAACAATTAACCCATTTTTAATCCCATCTCAACCTCCACTCTCTACCTTCCAGATTTCTATTCAGATAGTTTTCTGTTCTGCTAAATCCATTTTCTTTTCCCGAAAGAAAAGGAAATGTCTGCTGCTGTAAAGAGTTTCTCATCATCCAAACAAGCAGTTGGCCTCAACAATAATGGAATTGAAATTGAAGAGCTAAAGAACAGAATCAATAACATTGAGGTCACTAGTGATAAAGAAGATGATGAGGAAGAGGTTTCTAAAGATGAATTGGACCTTGGCCCTCAACTTTCTCTCAAAGAGCAGCTTGAAAAAGACAAGGCATGCCTCTCTCTCTCTCTCTTTTTTTTCTCTCTATATGATCTGCTTTATAGTATGCTTAATTATAAATTATGCTTCAATTTTAATTTTTTTTGAGAAGAATTGTAATTTTTAAAAAATTTTAAAATAGATTATAATTTAATAAAATTATAAAAATTAAAAGAGATTATATTAAATTGTTAGATCTACAAGTTGATATAAAATTATAAATAAATTAAAATTGAAGTATTATTGTTTTTAATATTTAATTTTTGACATTAAGGTTTTGTAGCATTTTTGTAACTGTAAAATACTTAATTATTCATTGTCATGTTTACTGTAGGACGATGAAAGCTTAATGAGATGGAAGGAACGGCTTCTCGGAAGTGTTGACATATCTGCTGTTGGAGGTGTCTTTTCTTTTTCATTTTCAAAGAAGTAGATATGTGTGATTTTATCGCATTGCTAACTCTCGATTCAATTCACAGCTTAACTTTATAATTTTAACTTTATGTCACTCTAAATTTTGTGCATAATCTGTTGTGCACTTGAACTTATAAATTTTGATAACGTTACTTACTTTTCACGTTAACATTAATAATTTTTAAACTTTTTAGTTTTTATATGCAAAATATTTATTTGGTATATAGTTAGCATAGTTTTTGAAACAATAGCTTTCATAATTTTCAATTTTTTAATAAGGGTGTAATTGATCTAATTTTACAAATTAAAATATTTATAATTTTATAAATTAAAAAGTTTAATAGGTATAATTTTATAAATTGAAGCATTTGATAGGTCAAAACAAAAATAAAGGATGCCTTAAAGTTAAAGTAATAAAAATTTAGGGGTGCAATTATATATTCAGCGAATTAGTAACCTATATAATCTAATCTATATATAACTTGAAAGCCACATAAAAAGACAAAGTGTTTTGTCCAATAAAATTAGATGTTTTGGTAGCTGTTAGTTGTTCTATTAGCATTTAACAGTTAGTTATTTTAGTATCATTTAGTTGTTAACTGTTTTAGTAAATGTCACTTTAACTTCTAAAAATTAGTTCAAATGCTATGTTACCGAACGTTATAAAGCGTTTAGCATTTTGATCAGTCAAAAAGTTAAAAAGTACTTAAAAAACTGTTACCGAACACGGTTAAAATCCATTAATTATTATTAGAATTCAGTTCAATTCAAGGCTTTTCTCTTGAAAAGGTAGTAATAAAATTTTTTAAAAAAATTTAAAATATTCTTACATTTTTTTTTTTTTGGGTTTGTGTTAGAAAGCAAAGAACCACAAGTAAAGATACTAAACCTATCATTGTCAAGCCCCGGGCGAGAAGATGTTATATTGCCAATTCCATTCTCTACAGACTCCATTGACAATGCAAAGAAAAGTATTTTCACTCTCAAGGAAGGAAGCAAATATCATCTCAAGCTCTCTTTTATCGTCTCCAACAACATAGTGTCAGGCCTCAACTATTCAAACACTGTTTGGAAGACTGGCATCAAAGGTAACAACAAAAAATTAATAAATAATCCTTATTTAATAATTTTAAATTAATAAATGAGCTCAGAAATATGGATGTTTGGTGAACTGAGTTTTCCTTTCTAAACTAATTTTAAATTAAGCATAATTAATAAGATTAGACTCTAATCTTGCAGTGGACCATACAAAAGTGATGTTGGGAACTTTCAGTCCAAAGCAAGAGCCTTATACCTATGAATTTGAAGAGGAAACTACCCCTTCTGGCATTTTTGCTAGAGGCTCCTACTCTGCTAGAACTAAGGTGAGGTTAATAGAAAATAATTAGTATATAATTAAAAATAAAGATTTGATTGGTTCAATTAATCATTGATTCAATGGCTCAACCATAAATCTTTGATGATCAAATTATATATTTTAATAATTAGATAATATAGTTAAATATATATGTTTACACTATAAACATTTTTTTTTTTTTGATTTAGTATAGTATATATATTTACAGTATAAAAGGTTTATTGGTTAATTAGTATATAATTTTGTTTTCAGATTGTAGATGATGATGGGAAATGCTATTTGGATGTGAGCTACTATTTCCAAATCCAAAAGAAGTGGCCTTCACACGCTTGAAAATTTATTATTTTCTTTTGCGCTGCCTTCTCAACCAAACCTATGCGTGCCAACCTTTTATTTCTTTTTATTTTTTCTCTTAAATTTTCTACTCACTTAAACATTCTGATCTTTCTTTCATTTAATATTATTCAAGTTTTAATTTTTTTTTTATTTGTGCATTATATATATGTGCGTCCAATGATTTGTACATTGACAAGTATCTCTTAATTTTCTATTATCTTTTTTCTTTTTTTGAATTTCTATAATCTTTTTTTGAATTTCTTAAATATTAATTTGACAAACAAACATGCATGTTGCTCACCCAATCAATTAAGATTAAAAAATTCAATAAAATTTCTAAATCTCATTCTCATATCTCTCTCTTTCATACAAATCTACAGCAAAGCCAAGAGGACACTGCTCTACATTGGCTTTGGTATTGCATGCATGCCATGGCTATATATGTGGTTGAGCTCCAATTTTTGCTCTTTTCTTATACCTAAGGTTAATCCATGTTCAATGTTGAAGAAGACGCACAAAAAAAATTGAGTTTGTTAGAGATAAATTGAGGACGAGGAATCGACAAATCATTATGAAGTAACTCAAAATAGACTTTTGTTAAGGTTTTTATTTCATTGCAGGTCGTTTCGTTATTTAGGCTCTATTCGGCAATAATATTTTGAGTAGCTTTTAGAGTTTTGATGGGTCAAAACGTTAAATGCTATTTAAAAAATCGTTCGATAACATAGCGTTTGAACTAGTTTTTAGAAGTTATAATAGCATTTTGTGAAAAGTTAACTCATGTGACGTTTAACTTTTAACGTTTTATGAAAAATTACTCAAACAACTAATAGGTAAACGCAACTAAAACAGCTATCAAAACAGCTAATCAGACCCTTAGATATTAAGAAGATGAACGTGGTGGTGGAAGAAAAAAAGTTATTTATTTATTTATTTTTCTTTGTTTAGTTGGTGCATGTAAAACATGCCCACCATTCTAAGTCAAAATTAGACCAAATTGATGATAAAATAAAGAGCAAATTATTAGGGTCACGTTTGGTTCAGCGATTCGTATCAATTATGGTTGCTGGTTACTAATGGCTAGATAATTGATGGCTGATAGCGGTCAGTTGATTACTGTTCGTGTTTGGTAAAATGTTAGTAGCGGCTTACCAAACGCCTCCTAAATCCCCTAATATTTAACTGAAATTATTACTTCATCCCTACTACTAAAAATTATTGTAAAGTCTCTGAGGTTTGATCTTGTTAAACTACTTAGTTCTTCGGTTCAAGATTCCAATTTTGCCACTAAGTAACGAACTAAATAGTTACAATATATTAAATGTAAAAGACCAAATAGTTATAGGTATTAAATTACAAAATTAGTACTTTTTGGATAAAAGGGTTAAGTAGTTTAACAAACCAAACCTTAAAGACTTTGCAATAATTTTTCCATGGATGAATTAGTAATTTTAGTTAAACCTTTAGAGACTTTATAATAATTTGCCCTAAAATAAAAATGTGTACTAAATTAATTAAAAAGCTCATTTTTTTTTAGTTGTATATTAAAACTTAACTTCAGAGAGTAAATTTGTCACGACCCGATTCCATGGGCCGGACCGGCACTAGGGCCCAGGTAAGCTTAAGGCCCCCGAGGCCCGTAGTAAGCCTAAACACTAGAATCCGAGAACCGCACTAGGGCCCAAGGTTAAGCTTTAAGGCCCCGACGGCCACGTAGTAAGCCTAAAACACTAGATCTATTGATTCTTGGTATTAAATTTCAACATTCAGCCCCATATGATTAATGAAAAATAACACTCAATATTTTATTATTTCTTCAGCCCAAGTTATCTTCTACAACCATTTCCATTTAGTATCCGGGGCCCAATTTACAATACCATTACATTTCTAAATATGGGCTCAATTAGAATTACTTTCCATCTATGTTAATACACGACTAAAAATATTATGTGTAAATTCTACAACTGCGGAGCACTAACTCTTTGGTATACATAGCTTGTATAACACATAAACTACCATAGTAAAAAATTTGTGTAAACTAGGAAAAATTCCTCTATTGCCCTGCGCCGAAAGAGGAACATAGCCTAAAATCGGATTTAAGAAAAAACTTACTTCCTGAAAAAATTAAACAACACATGTGAGTTTTTCTAAGGAGTAATAATTATTCACAAACCACACGCATTCACACAAATGTAGTAAACATTATCAATCTAGTCATCCGACTAGTTTGTATGCTCACCGCAAGCCAGTCACACAAATTGGCACATCACCAGCACTCACAATCATTAACATCTTCATATAATCACATCACGTGGAAATTGGTCTTGTGGCGTCCACCGGGGAAAACCCCGCATTGCAGCCGTCACTTCCCCACATGGCCCATCCTCCATAAACGTGTGCCACCAGGGGCCGCATCACCCCATACTGGCCGACCGGTCTAATCCTTCCACTTGACCAGCCCTCTCATTGTTTTCCATTCTCTCTTTTCTTTTCCATCACCAACAGAGGCAAACCCGGTTCGTCTCCATCAAATACTAGATTCATCAGGCGGTCAACAACAGGCGAGGCCCACCCTGCGGAGCTGCGATCAAATCTAGATTATCAGGTCGCCAATAAAAGAAGCCCAACCTGTGGATTTTCCATATCATACAAAATCACAACGGTAGGTACACCACGGGGGCGCCGATCTCCCATTTTAACCCGGCCGACGCGGTCAACGTCCTCACAAACCCAATGGTGACCCCACTTCATTCCCAACTCCACACAAACAAAAGGCATAGCATTATCACAACACAATTTAATCAAACATTGCAATTAGATGGCAAACATATTGATCAGTTTGAAAAACATCGTAATGCAATTACCCATTTAACATTCATACTTTCAAATGCAAATAAATAAATAATATTAACAATAAACAACAATGAATAGAATAAATAATAAAATAATAAAACAATTAATAATGAAAATAAATAAGTAATTGAAATTAATTAATAAATAAATGATGATTAGTTAAATAATTAGGAGCACTATTACTATGCTATTAAGTTATGGGAAATATAATCTAAATAAAAACTTATTTAATTATATTGTTAATTTAAAACTAGTCTAAGTTCTATCGAAATCGGCAGCAACCTCCCCTAAAAATTGGGACTATCTACCTGCTCAAATATCACAATATATATATATTTATCAAATCAATGCACACAGGGCCCATCCGTCGGGCAATCAATCAATCAATTTAAAATCCATCCTCCTTCAAAACAACAATATCAACACTCAACCAGTTAATTTACAACATCCATGTTCCAATGCATAATGCAATCATTACTTACTCATAAATTATAACTAGTCTACCAAACAAAAAATTTTGGAAAGCTTTAATACATTATTATATCGAAATAAACTTATATCATTAAGTTAATTTTTCCAATTACTTTTCATTTGATAGTTTCGTAGTGATAGTTACCTAGCCTTTAAATATTATAGAGCTCTTTATCAAACCTTCATTTCTTCATCCTTGCTGAAAGGTAACACTCACATATTTATACCTTCATCAAATTTTTAAATTACCCACTAAGAACGAATGCTTCAATTAAACAAAAATTTAATGAATACCTCTACTATGAAATCCAATTTACAACTTAAAATTTACCAACTGACTAATTCTTAAGAAGAATTAGATCTACTACTTCAAGTATTCCATAACAACTTACATAGGCTTAGTTTAAAAATCTATATAACATCATATTTACTTTATGTAAAAACATAATTGTCAAATCCCAAGTAAATTCTTTGAAACTCATACTAAATCAACTACTCTTTGCATGATTAAGAAGTTTTCAGAATTCCTATTGACTTATCATAAGCTTGCTGCCATTTCAAAGTATGCTTGCCATTATATCAAAGAAACCTTGAGAGCTATTGATTAAAACTCATACATCATATGCTGCTAACCCAATTCCACCAAGGAACTTAATTTTATAACCTTCGTTTGCATATAATACCGCAATTAATGTTCAAGCTAATTAGTTAAATGGCATCTGCCATTCAAGTTTCTCAATTCTTTCGCCATCAAGCTTATAGTTCAATTGAAAATGATAAAGAAAAATCAAGCATGGCTAAACTGGCTACTTATCAAATCACTATCAATCTAACGAATGCTCGACTTTTCATGAAAATTTATAATAGAAGAAATAACCTAACCATTTCTATATGGGAATTCAGTTTATAAATCAACCTAAAATAGTAAAATCAAAGCTTCTAATTATTTACACTGAAATAGTAGTTAATTTAGGGATTTAACTCTACCCAACTTGATTTATGCATGAAATTCTATACCCTTGTTCAAAGAATTCACTAAATGTATTAAAGAAGGGTGAAATTCGACTTACCCAGCTGAAAAACGCACTGAAAGACTGAGATTTTCCGTTTAAAGTGACCGGAAGTGAACTTCAAAGTCTCCAATTAAAGTGACCGGAAGTGAACTTCAAAGTCAAAACCCAATGCTGCCAGCGACAGCTTGACTGGAGGAGACAACAATGGAGGATCAGCGGCGATCGCAAGCCATGATCGCACATTTACTAGCTTGTTGCGCTAGCCGGAAAGGGAAGAGAGCGAGGTATAGGAACTTCGCTGTCGACGAGACGAAGCTGGAGTCGACCGAAGAGGGCTGCAGTCGCCGGAAGATCGAGGAGTGGGTTGCGACGCGATTTCCCGATCGAGTCTCCTGCGGTTGCTGCATTAGCCATAAACGAAAAGAGAAAGAGAGGAAGAGAGGCCAGTGCTGCGGTGAGGCGGCGGCGTGGCAAGGATGCGCGGCGAGGAGGCGCTAGTTCTGGTGATCGGAAAAACGAGAGAGGAGAGGCAGCGAGGTCGCGCCGAAGAAGAAGAGAAAGAAAAAAAGAAAGAAGAAAGGCGGTTTCTAGCAAATTCTAGGCCATTCCGGGGTCGGTTTCTAGATCATTCCGGTTCGATTGTTCGATTCAAACCGGTTTGTCTGTTTTAGTGATTTGGGTCCATTTTGTTTGGAATTTTCAAAGTTTTCCACTCGGTTTTTTGGATTATTCGGTGGTCCTCGAGCAAATTAAACGATTTTTTCAGTGCCTGGTTCAATTTATTTTAACCGGTTAGTTCGGCGTTCCATAATTATTTTCTCTATTTACTCGATAATAATAATAAACATATTAAGAGTAACGAATATTTTGATTTT